CTCCATCTTGAACTTTGACTGACCGGTACTGACCAGGCACCGCTGTTTGATTAAGTCCATGAGCCCACCCATATTCTATCGTGGCATCCTTTTTCGGGACTCAAAAGCAACAGCCGATGTCGCTCGACGATCTTTGTAGGAACAGCTTGAAAATCAACATGGCATCACAGGACGTCCGACGCGACGTAGAACTTGTCTACTATACTTACACGTGTTCATGCGGTTGGGGTCGTGCTTGCGATGATGAATAGAGAAATCGAAGTGTAGAGGAGTCATTTGAACCAACTGTAGGACATTTCTCTTCGTGAAACTGGAATGACCTGGAGATCTTCTGCCCATAACGTTCCTTTTCGAGGCTCTTCCTGGATCCGGATGGCGGAAAGCATGGTGATTATGATTAACTAGGGCAAAAGGTTGGAGGTATTTGGGTTGCTTGATGACTCGGTTGTAGAAACGCTGTAGATTCCTCTGATGTCTTAGTCTATTAACAGTCACACAGCGAGGACATGGAAGGGTGAAGAGATCTAAATAGGCGCCGAAAATCTTGTCTTCTCTCGCACCACATGCTCGCATCAGTGAAATCGAACCGACTAACTCTCAACATCTCATGTCGGAAAAATGCATAACATCTGAAAACCAGAGAAAGGGATTCCTGAAGACACCATGGAGTGCACGAATAGGATCTTTTACCAAAGTCGTCCTCTTCTCCGTCCTGCTTTTCACCTTCACAGGCTTTTTCGACTCGAATCCTTCTCCGACATTACTCGAAGAACCCGACTCGGAATGGCAAGACGATATGCCCTATCGAGAACAAATGTGGTGGGATATATCCACGGAATATCCTTACCCGCGTCTGGTCGAGTACGAAGTACATGAAGGAACCTGGCTTAGGCTGGACGTGCACCCAATGAGTGGAGATATCGTTTTCGATATGCTAGGGGACTTGTATTGCATACCAGGAGATGAGGCGTATGATACCCACCGCGAATTATCTCGACGAGCCCGACCGATTCTGCTTGGGGTACCTTACGATGCGGACCCACGGTTCTCACCAAAGGGCGACATGCTGGCTTTTCGTAGTGACGCAGGACTGGGAGTGGACAATTTGTGGTTCATGCCATGGGTGGGGTGTAATAATATGGATGTGAGGCCAAGTTTGGGGGATGTAGATGAGGCATTGGCGGATGTGTTGAACTTGAAAGGCGCAGAAGAAAGGTTGCTCGCGGAAGGTGTCGAGGAGACCGAGGAAAGGAGAACTCGTCGTTTACTTAGAGAGGGACGTCTCCATGGTCAGTTTCAATCAATTCCCCTCGTGCAGCCCAGGCTAACTGACCTTGTAGCTCAGCGTATAACGAACGAAACTTGGAGATATGTCTCTGGCCCACGTTTCTATCCATCCAGCTCAAAGGTCATTGGTACCAAATGGTATCAAGGACGTGTCACTCTTGGTGCTCCAGAAGGATGGGAGTATCCTCTGCCAGACTTACGTACCTCAACACCCTCTACTATTCCTGCTGGGAGCGGGAAACGCGTTCTTGGTCGCACTTTACCACCTGGCAGGACCGTCGACGAATATGCGAATCTCCAAATTGGTCCGGAACAGTTTACCTTCGCTGGTGAAGACGGTCTCATATACACAAAGAACGTGGTAGACATCTATACCACGAGTGAGAACAAAGGTTTGTGAAGCTTTCATCACCTGGTAGTCCACTCTGATTCACTGCCCCGCCAGATCCTTTCAAAGGGACTTGGGGTATATTCCTACGGAATCTGACAACCGGGGCGGAAACAGTTCTCGCGAGTGGCAACCCTGGAGGCGCAGTACGCCCGGAAATCTCGCGAGATGGCCGCACCCTTGCTTTTGTTCGTCGTTCACGCGACTATGGAATCTTGGTTCTCAAGTAAGTCCCGTACTAGTTTTCACAGTTCAGAGTTGAGACTGCTCTCTCAGGGACTTACAGACGGGAACAATACACCACGTATGGGATGGGCTCTCGACGGAGTTCAGTACAAGTTGGTCCTCTATCAGTGGCTCTTATCCTTCCTTCGCCTTCACTCCATCTGACGATGCCATCGTTATATGGGCTCGTGGCCAGCTGTATGAAGTTCCGCTTTCGGTGAACGGACGTGGAGAAAAACTTGCTGGTGAACCTCCAAGGCCAATCCAGTTCTTTGCTACTGTCGAAAAACACATGGCAGAAACTATTACTGCCGAAGTCGACCTCGTTGGTCTAGAAACTCAGGATACCCAGCGCGTTCATGCGTTTAAGGAACTGCGGGTTGATGAAGCAGGTTCCAGATTCGTCTTTCAGGCGGCTGGTGTAACCGTTGTACAGTCCCTAGGCGAGCCAAACATCACCAATGTTCCTGTTTTATACCAGAGCTCGTCGTACTATTCGCCTTCTTTTGTTGCTGGAGCTAGCCATCTAGTACTTCACGCCAGATGGTCTGATACAAGTTTCACGATGTTTGAAATAGCCAATGTTGAAACCGGCGTCGCTCACGAGTTGGCAGGTCTTCCTCTTGGAAGATACTTCTCACCTGTGGTATCAAAAGCTCACGGTACCACTCGTCACATCGCGTTTATCAAGAGTGCTGGCGACTTACTCACTGGGAATGTGATAGCGACTGGTAATCCTGGGATATACGTCGGAGATCTGGTCCTCCCCTCCGATTCATCATCAACTACCCAAATCCAAGTCTCTAACATACGTCTTGTATCATCCAAGATTGATACCGAAGCGTACAAGGAGATTGTCCTGGACTTCTTCTCTAATTCGGAGCTGTCAGTCCAGTACACCGACCAATCTTTCATCATCGACTTGTCCGCCAACCCCAACACATCGGGCGAGTATGACACCCACACAGTAGCTATGGCCAAAGCTTCCACCGAGTTTGCGTCCACGATTGGCGCACCCGAGGATTATGATGCTTTTGTCGAGAACCAACATGTCTATTTGGCAGCGAGAAAGCATGAACAGGGTAGGCCTGTATGGGCCAAACCCGGTAGCAGCATCAAAGATCTCGCACGACTGAGTGACCATGGTGGTCATTCGATTGCTTGGAGTGGTGATTACAAGAAGCTGTTCTGGTTCCTTGGTAAGTGTACCAAATCCACCTTCGCTGATAACGCTCACCACTTTGTAGGCCCTGTACTGCACTCCTTTGAAGTCACAAAGCTCAAGCAGTGCATCCGGCACATAAGACTAGATCCACAAACGTTCGGCATTAAATGTTTGAATGCGCTTGTGGAACGTCAGGAAATCTATGTGTCGCACTCTACGGATATAGCTCGTCTCAAGGCTGAGGATGCTGGAGGTGATCTCGCTATCATAAACGCCAAGGTCATAACCATGGAAACTGGGATAGAGGAGAAGGATATCATTCCAGATGGAGCACTACTGGTCAAAGGTGGTCTTATCAGCAGCGTGGGTAATGCAACAAGCATTCAGTTGCGTCCAAATATGACGGTGATTGATGCTGAAGGAGGTAACATCTTTTCACTCCTGGAGCCATTTCTTGTCTCAAACCTTCTCTAGCCTTCGTTATCCCCGGTTTCTTCGATGCTCATGCACACTGGAGTGGACCTACTGTTCGTTACCCAGCAAAATCATGGGAAATGCAGGCTTTTCTCGCCTATGGTGTCACCACGATGCACAAGTACGAGGTTTTCCTTGGCCGAACTTCCGAAGCTAATCCTCGTTCAGTCCAAGCTCTGTCACAGTCAACACATTCGTGGAGCGTAGTCGTCTTGAAAGCGGCCATTTCGTCGGACCTAGGATTCTCACCACTGGCTCTCCCTTATTCGCTGGAACCTGGACCGGAATACACGAAGAGATCGTCGATGAGGCAGAAGCTTATTCTGCGGTGTACAGGATCAAGGCAGAGGGCGGTCCAATCAGCCACTCGTACAAGAATTATCAGCTTCCTTCTCGGTATATTGACATTCGTTACCTCTGCTTTGCATGACTGATGAGGCGCACTAGGGCATCTCGCCAACGCTTGCTGAAAGCTGCGCGCAAACTAGGCATGCTCTGTGTGCCGGAAGGTGGTGCAAATTGGGATTGGGGGTTGACTTACATTATTGACGGTGCGAGTGTTCGTTCTAAGGGCGATCATACAACTTACCGTATTACAGGAATGACAACACATGAACACAATCTACCAGTACCCGTGATATACGATGATGTCGCCCAGTTATTCGCTCGTAGCGGCACAGGCTATACACCAACTCACATCGTGAACTATGGAGGTCTCCTGGGAGAGGTCTATGTCTGGGCTAATCACGACGTCCCGAACGACCCTAAGTAGGACCTCAGTGTTTGAGAAGCATGAATCTAATCACTCTTGAAGGCTTCGCAATTTCACCCCGCACGACGTGCTGGAAGGTCTAACTGAGTCAATTGCAGCTCCATCCTACGGTGCATACCATCCAAAACCTGATCAGTTCCTCAAACTAATGAATTTCTAGCCTACACCTTGTTTAACAACTCTGCCTCTGCAACAAAGATGTCACGGCTTGGTGTACCATTGCACATTGGTGCTCACGGCGAGAACCCCAAGGGACACAATTACCACGCCGAAATGTTCTTCACAAAGCAAGGTGGACTGACCAACTTCGAGGTGAGTAAGAGTCATGTAAGCCTCTGATGTATGTTGACATAGGTTTACAGGTTCTGAAAGCTGCGACTGCTACTGGGCCCAAAACCTTTGGTCTCTTTTCCTCTATTGGCTCCCTGACTCCTGGGAAGTTAGCCGATTTTCTGGTCTACCAACCCGGTGTGGATCTTCTCAACGGCCCGATCGAGAATACGCAGGCTTTAAGATTCGTTGCACGAGGCGGAAGGATATGGGATGCTTCGAGCATGGAGGAAGTTTGGCCAGTTCAGCGACCAGCTCAGACAATGCCGGAGTTTAATCCGTGAATTGACCTTGTTTTTGCTTAATTAAAGAAAGAAAGGGTAAAATGGGGGATGTATTTTGACGAATGCACAAAAAGAAGTGCCCGGCGTGGTTCGAACACGCGGCTTCAAGATAGTTACTTCAGCGGAAGTTGCAATCTCACACTCTACCACTGAGTTACGGGCACTTGATTGCTCACAATTACATATTGTATATGTATCGTTGTGTCGGACTAAGTTGTCAATAATTGAACGCTGCCACATGAATATTGCCCAGAGTCGTTGGTTGATCGGATTATGTTCGGGAGTTGGAACGCATGAATCGCAGAGATAGAACCCATGATAGACACTGACCATGTGTAACAAAGCCGTGATTGAAGGTGCCAGGAAGCAATGCCAGATCTAAGAAGATAAGTGAAGTTGTTTGACTCGTTCTATTCCAGATATGAAACATAAAAGTATAAATCTTCCGCCGATCCCAGTGCACACGAGGCGAGAGTTTGATCATGTTGAACAGTTGCTCTGAATCGAGATTAGTCGGACGTGTGCCTATAGTCAGGAATGTAAGAACGCCGGTGAATTCAAGATAAGACTCCACGATGTATCATGTAGAAGAACAGTCCTTTTTCAGCAAGATGCTTCTCGGAAAACGAACGGAAATGTCCAAGAGTTACAGCGAATAGGCGAAACTTGCAGGAGTGGATGGAATCTGCACGGAGTCTAGGGTAGCTGGGACATGCCATGACAGTAGGTTGGTTTGCACACATAGAACTGCAGAGCCAGGAAAGATATCAAAGGTGTTTTTAAAGCTGCTTTTGTGGTCAATAGAACGTTGAAGTCAGACATGCCTAAATCGCACAAAATGCCAGAAGCGCACCTTGGGCACTGACTGAGACTCCCATCACCAAGCCCTCATCTAACCCTCCATATTCACCAAGATATATCTCGGGTTCCTGGGGTAGTAGCCTCTTCAAAGCGGCGAATAAAGACATTTTAGGAAAGCAGCAGAAAATGTGAGCGTCGTGAGGTGATGGATGTTGACATGAGAAAGCCTAGAGGTGACTGTGACAGACGCGTCTTGTCTCTGCCTCTCAGCTCTCAGCATGCACCAAATTCACGCTTTCGTGGATGTCCTGTCCCACTTTTTCACAGGTAGCGTGCTCGAGCTCTCGACTCAAAAGAGTCAGGTTCGCTGCAAACATGCGTCGATCTTCACAGGATTGCAAGACCGTAGCTATTACTTCCAACTTGCTTTTTACTGGTCCAATCTCCCAGTCCTCGATGTCTGGGCTCAAACCCAAGATTCTATCTCGCCAAGTCGATCAGATCACAGTGACAGAGCGGTATGATCTCGATCCTTCAAGTTCTCTGCCCGCTGTCACCCGCCTGAACACTTCAAGGTCACGGTGCATTTCAAGAGTTGTATGTTTCAGGAATCAGATTTCATGCAACAACTAACAGCTCGACTGTGCTGTCGAAGCTCCGCCCGTTTCAAATAACCATAATGTCAAGCCCGCAGCAAAAACAGCTTCCCGTCCAGTGTTCACCGGATCTCGACCGTGACCTGTGCCTCGAGTCAACCCGCATCACCAAGCTGTTTATCGCCCCGAAATCCAAGCACCTCGGCGTTGCGTCGATCCTGATACCCTCGAGATTGAATATCGAGCTGGAGCTTGGAATTCGAATCTGGCTCGGGATCCTGCATCATTATCTGGGCTCTGAGTCTGTAGGTGTTTGTGGGTCCATGCCCCCGCACATTTCGGGTTTCGGTTCGGAAACTCGCAATCGGGGTGCTGTGGTACCGCTGCAGCTGCTGTTAGGCCCATCGATTTCATTTTCTTTCAATTAATATCAAACCGCTTCCATTCCCAGAACTCAGGACTGCGTATAGTGTCGATAATGCGGCGTCCTCGGTGACTCGCGGGGTCGAACACATATCGATGTGCCCGCAAGTACAAGTCTTAGGCCCGAACGAGTCAAGTCCGCTGTGCGTTGTAAGGCCCAATACCAAGCACTCTGAATTAAACAACCCCACATTCTCCCCCGCTCAATTCGACTCAGAACCAAAGCCAGCTTTAGCCTAGCTTCGAGTTACTCATTGCCAAGGCCTTTTCGATTCATTTACCCCACACCGTTTCCCAAGCCAAGAGTTTTGTAACTCAAGGAACAGGTGAGTTCTCCTTCCCTAAGCCACCGCCTCCACAACTTCTGATGATCATGTAGCGCTTATTATCCCGCAGTTGTATTCGGTTATATTGGGTTGTGGTTGTATTGGGTATCCCCATCTTTTGTTGGGATGCAGGATACTGTTGTTGTCTAGCCAGATGAGTTATGAATCTAACGTTGAATGTTGAGACGTAAAAACGCCAAAAGTCAGGACTGGGGAGGTACCGTATTCTGATTCACGGTCTCCCTTACGTGACAACACAACATATACCGCTTTATCTTCCAAGTTTCGCTGACTGGGTCAATCCAGCGGAATCCAGTTCAGAGAAACATAGAGTTCAAACTGATACTGCTGCTGTCTAGCCAGTTATAAATCTAACATCATGGTTAACGTTGAACGCTGAGACGTAAAAGCGCCAGAACCAGGTTCCGTATTCGTGGTCCCCCAAGACTTCTGGCTTCATGTCTTCTTACTTACGTGACAATAACATATATCGCTATACCGCCTTTACCTTCCAAGGCTCTCTAACTGGGGCAATGTCAACCCAGTTCAGACAAACAAACATAGAGTTTAAGCCCGCACCCGAATCCACTGGCCACGGTCAGGATGACCCCTCAAGCCCCTCTAGATCTCCTCTTCCTCGTCTTGCTTATTTCTACAATAGACGCGTACCCCTTGCCCTATGACTAGTCCCTTCAGCAGAGAGACTTCTATCTACCCCGCTCAGTTTTCAAGTGGCGCGAGAGTGGCTTGGCTTGAGTATTGAGTCTTTGAGGGAAAATCGCCATCGACCCGGCTGAATCATGTACATAGGTATGCATGTCGTCGTTCCAAGTCCCAGATAAGAGACATCCCGCATACGTGCTGGTCTAAATCCAAAGCTTTCATTTTAGGTGAACAGGGAAAAAAAACAACCAACTATGCACATACCATTCCGACCTGCCTGGTTCGAACAGGCGACCCCAAGATGACAACTTCGGCACCCGATTACAGTCTTGTGCTCTTCCAACTGAGCTAAGGTCGGAGATGTTGACTTTTCGTCTTGGTCGTCCATGATGCAAGTTCGGGGGCCGGGCGTCTATTCATAGTCAGACGGAACTTGAGCTTTTTTTTGATCGTTTGTGGCCTGCGTAGTCTGTGCCACCCCAACACCCCAACGTGTCATGTTTCTGTTCTAATTCATTTCCCCACACGACGGATCTACACCTGCGTATGCCACCCCCAGCATTTTCTGATTGTGAAGGCATGTCACAGTGATTTCGTTTCATTTCCCAACAACTGTGCACAGACGGATCTACAACTCCTATGCCACCCAGTCATGATTCAATTTAATTTCTCCCATATTTTCTGATGAAAAGAATTTGAAAGAAAAAGGCTTGAATCGTGTGATCAAACATCGACGCAAAAAAAACATATGTTCGATTTGAATTTTCCGCAAAACCTTCACCATATATTCTGAATTCCGACCTGCCTGGTTCGAACAGGCGACCCCAAGATGACCAAGTGCGGCCAGACAGCCAATTACAGTCTTGTGCTCTTCCAACTGAGCTAAGGTCGGCGATACCACTCCCTATTTTTTTACGGTTGTGTTCTGCGGCAACTGAGGTTGGGAGAACACCGCCATCGGCTTGAAGACGCGTACCTTTCTCTTCCGTGCTGCGGCGACTCGCGAACTCATTAATGATTACGCTTCTTCGCCTCTCGTCCCGGTCGAGGGCCTGGAATTTCTTAGTATCACCCGACACCGTGCATCGCGTATCGTCTTTCATTACGCGTCACTCTGGGCGAGGAATTAAGGAATCCCTAAAAACCCTACAAAACCTCTGAAAGTCTGGGACCCTGCGATGTTTTACGTGGATGACGCTTCCTCTCTCTCATGCATCAGTGCTTGATAAGATAACCTGAGTCTGTTGTGTCGGGCGTTACCGAGCATTGACCGATTGACCATCATTGTATCCCCAACTGAGTCCTGACGCGACGATATCCCCGTACATCGAGAGCAATTTGCAATGCCCGGCGGAGGAAGCACTTAAGTACTTTGAGGTCCATGTGGTGGTCAAAGCTGCTTACACTAACGGCCCACGGACGGTTTGCCGTTCAGGTGGACTTTGAATTGTGCTGTTGTGCTGCGCGGTGTTGAAGGCCGAGGGACGCGTAATCGCCTTGAGTTGAGTGTAAGCCTTAAGGAAATTCCGTGATGTAGATGTAGATGCTGATCATGATGAACTGAAGGGAGAAGCACTTCTTTCAATGTTGAACATACAGTACATGGGCGTCGGCGGGGGATTCAGGAAATTCAAGTTGTCGGGTGACGTTCCTCCGAGTAAGCGAGTTGGTTGTTTTTAGTTCAAGCTGCGGTCTGACGCGGTGAATGTTAATGGGCATTCAAGGGAACGAGGTGCCTCGAGGATTGTCTTTTATGTGTGTTTGTATAGTGTGTTGCCTTTCATACATACATACATACACGAAAGGGGCGTCTAGATAACGAACCCAAACGTTTCTCGGGACCTTTTCTCGTCTGCGTTGTGTACACCAGTGTGCTTATTCGCGTGGCGGGAACCTGGAACCTCGAGGCACGAAAATTTTTCAATCTTCTGTCGTTTACGTGCGCCTTCAAGGGCTTATCACGCCGCCACCATGTCAAGATGTCGTATGTTGTGATAACAACCGAGAGTTGTGTAACTTGTAAGGATTGATGATACCCGAACGAGGCAGGACTGCAGGGATTGAATGTATTATATAGCGTTTTTGGTGTGTGGGAGGACGGGAGAGAATCAATTAGGATTGATAAGACGATTTGTACATACGATAAGCAGTCCATGGGTGAGCGCACTGGACCTCGGCTAGTGGTTGGCGGGTAATTTCCGAGGTGTGAAAGCGGATGACGGGTGTTGGGTTCACAGCTGTAGCCGAGCGACGAGAAGAATGGCTGGAATGGTATGAAGAGTAAAAATAGCAGACCCTAAAAAGCACAACAGCAGACACAAGCAGGCTCTGGGTTTTTGAATGACCGGCCGGTAACAGATGGAAGGGAAAGGGCGATAAGACGCTTTGAGAGGAAAGTGACGCACGTTCTGTCCGAGGCGTAAGCGCGTAATCAACGGGGACCAAAAGGTGACATTGTTGCCAAAACATATTTTATTTCGTTTCAGCCAAGAACTGCTTGATTCGGCAATCTCCCAATTCAACCTCGGCCAGCCGCCAGATCTGAGATGGTATTACCCGATATGGCATGGGTTAGGGTTGTGTAGATTTTTAAAACCAAAAAGTGACTCTGACGTTTTGTTCCAATTTCTCCGCACCGACAATATGTCCACAACGACAATAACAGCGCCTCCTCCAACAAATCGAACAAAGATTCGGTTCGCACCACTTCCAGATCCTAGAAGAAGTGTTCTTTTAGGTGACGACGGTGTTGAACATCCAATTGAAGCGGATGACCGAATACCCGCCAGTGTCTCCCTCGCCATCGTTGGTGCTCAACCACCCTCTGTCCCTTCGCCACAGATATTCAACAGTATTCCTCTTCCTCCTTCCCCGCTTATTCAGCCGCAGCCAGAAGCTAGCACAAGCACCAGTCCCTGTATACTATCTACTAGCTCCAGCTCCGGCTCAACCTCGAGCTCCGGCAAACACTGGTCCAAATCCCTATTAACACCCTTCCTCTCCCACAAAAAACATCACAAGAAGTCATCTTCTCCATCTCCAGATTCAGCGTCTGGATCGTCTTATGCCTCGTCATCGTCATCGACACCCAACTCTATCCACTCACTCACACCAACCCAGAGCCCCCTTTGTGATATTTCCCTTTCACGCCCTGCAACAAACGACGGGTCTGGTTGGGGTGCAGCACTCTCGAGATGGACGAGTGGGGGTAGTATGGCCAGTACCAGTAATCCAGGCAAAGGATATGGGTTTGGAGCGCCACTTACTAGGACGCAGAGTACGCAATCTTGGAAGGTGTGTGTGGCGATTCATTGCTTTGTGGTTTGTGTTCTATATGATTAACAGTGGTTGTACAGAAAAGTAAAGGCCGACGTCCTTCGTCCTCATCGTCCATGGACGCTCGTGCATCGGGTCTATTAAGCTCGTTACATTCCGATAAGCCAAAGCCTGGTAAAGGTACTAGGCTACTGAATGGCAGAGTTTATGGTGCCAAACGAGGTGGTGAGTCACAGTCTCTCCCTTCTCACTCTCTTCCTGTTCTTGTTCTTCGTTACTCCCCCTGACTTGACGCTTGACTCCATCTCATCGCTCCCTCGCTTCCGTCATCACACCATCACAATTTCCACTTTCCACCTTCCTTTTCCATTTTCGCTTCGGTGCTTCTTTTCTGCATCCTGCCAGCCACCTCCATTGCCATCATTTCATGTGCCTGCCTGTCGACCGCTTACTGCCAATGGGGCGAGTGGCGATCTGTCATGTGATGCTGCCTCCACTATTCACTATTCACCACACCACTATCATTCAACAGCTTTGATGGAGTGGTGTATGGGTTTATGGAGCATGGCTTCTATCCCCGCGCGTGAATGCGAGGATATGTTTTTTTTCCCCGCATTCAGTCGGCGTTTCTTTGACTTTTGCGGGGATCTCTATTTTTATCCATGTGCCCGCGGATGTTTCTTCTATTCTCCTATGTGTTTTTGACTTTTGAGCCGCGGTGCTTCCGGCTCTGGTCTTAGGCCTTAGGGCTCTGGGTTATGGGCTTTGGGCTCTGTGCTTCTTTGGCAATCGAGGCTACTTTGGCGATAAGCGACCGAGGCTGTCTATGCTTCTTCGCCTGCCTCGCGCTTCATTTCACTTTTCATTTCCATTTTATCTCCTATCTATCTACCTCCGCATCTCACATTCAACACAATGCTAACTACCGTTCCTCACCCTTCTAGCCCACGCGAACGCCAACGCCAACCCATTCGCAACAATCTCCTCTACATACCCCGACCCTGAATTCGTCGAATGGGGATACGGTGGTACAGGTAGCGTCAAACACCAAAAAGATGGTGTTGGAGGACGTGTTTGGGGGAGATTGGCTAAAGAAGGCAGTGTTTTCGACGATGATGCCGAAAATACGGGGAGAGGCAGACAGCCGACTTCGCCCAGTAGAGCGGCGGCGGAAGATGATGATGGCAGTGGTATGGGATGGGTGAAGAGACGAAGGGAGCAGAGAGAACGTGAGGCACGTGAGAAGGCTGAGAAGGAGGCGAAGGAGAAGGAAGAGGCTGAGAAAGAAAAGGAACAAGAACAGCAGGAAGAGGATCTGACTGCGTCGGTGTCCACTATGGACACATCTACAACGCTCGCTACAACGGAGACTGGCGAGACGACGCCGCCGGAGTCGCCTGTCGAGGTTGTGGAGGAGGATAAGCCCGCGCCTGCGCCTGTGCCTTCTTTACCTACACCGACTTTAACCGCACCGCCGACACCGACGAGACAGACGAGCGCGGAGGATCACGTTACGACGAGCTGTTAATGTGCCTGCGCCTCCTAGGGGACATGGAAGGAATAAGAGTTTGTCGAGTTTACGTGAAGTCTTGCCTGCGTCGTCTGAGCCTGTACAACAAGTGGAGGAGACGCAGGAAGAGGAGGAAGACGAGGATGATGAAGAGGATGAGAGTGGTTCGAATGAGGATGAGGATGAAGGCGATGAAGGCGATAGTGAGGAGAGCGACGAAGAGGTTAGGAAGACGAGTTTAGGTGCTGGTGTTGAGGTTGTTAGTCGACATCGGGCGTGAGTGTGTTGGATGGGGGTGTATTTAATGGCATGGACTTGGACTTGGGGTGTAAGTAGGATGCATTGTATTGTACATACGTTAGGCTCTCGCATAGGTTACGCATAGTTCACTGCTCAGTCATAGGTTGTGTTTTTTTCGCAATGCATAATGCATAATGTTTTCGATACTAGCTTGATGTGGGTCTCCCTAGGCTGATTGTGCACTAGCGCTCGTAAGTTCGTTGCTTTGTCCTTTCCATCACCAACGTCAAGGAAGCAGGATTAGTACTACCAGCTTGATTGTTGACAGACATCGGCGTTCGACTGGCTTGGAGCATTAGCGCTCGTGAGTTCGTTGCTTTGTCCTTTGTCCTTTCCATCACAATCCAACGTCAAGCCTGAAGCCTGAGATTCTGATTGTTCTCGGCCTCGGCGACAGCATGTTCTTTTCTGATTTCATTTCGTCTCTTTGCTTTGTCTAGACTTCAAACCCAAACTTCACCATCTTTGGGCAGCTCTCGGCGACGCGGAACATGACGCGGACGCTTTTTCTGATTCCATTTTCATCGTCTGGATTGTCTGACTTTTTTTTTTTGATCAAATCCTTCCAGATCATTACGCTCGGAAGATTCGAGGTTGTTTAGAGGTCTCGGCGACGTATGATGTATGATGTTTTTCTGATTTCATTACATTGCTTTGTTCAATTCCAAGTCATTGACATCTATCATCGTCAATTTGGAGGTTCCGGTCAAGAGCAATGGAAGTTCTTCGATACTAGCTGCGGACTGCGCGCGCATGCGGAAATACAGAACGCATAACGGGCTTGGTTTATGGTGCGCCGAGTGGCC